GGCAGTGAGAGAGTGCGATTAAAGCCAAGCCAAAGGACTGGAGTGAACAGCTTGAATAGAGAAGTGAAGCCTATACGTCCTAACCCGTTTTTCCTTACCATTCCTTTCCTCCTCCTCTCCTCCTCCTCTTCCTCTCCCATTCTCAACATTCTTAGGACTGCCAGAGCTACTGCCACCTGCACCTCCTTGCGTCTCCTCTTTCCTCTTCCTCTTCTACCTCACCCTAACTATCCAATCGCGAACTCGCCGCTCTCCGTTCTGGCACTTTAGAAAATATCCCTGAGCCATCAGTCAGTGGGCACCTTCCTGTACCTGTACCAAGTGTCTGGAACAGCGAGGCAAAAGTCATCAGGAGCTCCCTCATCAGAGGCGGACCTTCTCGGAAGCCCAGTCCGACACACAGATCTTGCCTTCTCCCCAGAGGACCGGCTTGCAACACACTGGTGCAGACAGCAAAGCCTGGAATTGCACAGCCCCACCGTTGCCTCCACCACATTTCTAGCTACTTGGCAGCTCCCGCCCCCGTGTCACCATTCCCTGCCTCAGTGCTAAGGATTCCAGCTACATGGGCAAGCGATTGGAGCAGCAGCCAATGTACCCTCAGTACACCTACTACTACCCCCACTATCTCCAAACCAAGGTATGATGCTCTCCGGCTGTTCTTTGATACCTGCTCATGCGATGCACTCTTGTCCAGCCTCCCTCCCACTCTTCCTCATCCCTGGGGGCCCCTCCCTCTTCTTCCTTCCTCTTCTAAATTCACCCTCCACATCATCCCCTCATCCCTCACCAGAGATGGGATTTGGTGGATAACTGGCCTTGACTGTGATGGTTTAATGGCAGGCACTTCTTGGAGGCTGGACGTCTGTGTTAGTCTGTAAGCTCGTGTGTGTGTGTGTTTGTGTGCATATATATCACTGAGTGAACGATCAAGGATAAGGGATCAAGGTTGAATGCTCTAGGCTACTGTTGGTCCACGCTCGCAGACCGTAACTGAGAGCTGTCCATTCTTCACCTGCAAGCTGCCGAGCTTCTGGTGAGATTGTTCAGTCTAACGCGTTCGATAATGTTCATTTTAGATTCAGTCATTTAATCAAAACTGCCAAGCGACAGCCTTTTTTGTTCTGTCATACATTAGGCAAATGAAAAAAAAATTAGGATCCAAAAATTAATTTGCTAATGAAGTATTTTCAAGCTTAATGTAGGCCATTGTTTAAAAGCTTAACTGACGCTTTTCTGCGGGAACTAATTACAGCATGAAGTTGATGAATCACATAAGAGCTGAAATGTCTTTTTGCAGCGTAGGTTAATGAAACTTTTTTTCTTTTTTGTTCTTTCTTTTGATGGTTTGCTTGTGACATAGAGCAGACATGGGGCAGGCTGCCCGTGTTTGTTCAAGCTGTAGCATGCATCAGTGCTTTCGGGATGGCAGCCCAGGCCTGGGTCCTGATGGCCGCCAGGACACTGGCTGGGCACGCTACCCAGACATCATCAAGGGATTAAAATGGAAGCCTTTTGGGGATTACTCGATTTGTTTTTCCACCACAATACGTAACACTAACTTCTGTCTGTTTTAGTGGCATCGTGATTTATAGCAGTGGTCGAAAAGCGTGCTGCAGGTGGGCACTTACACAATTAAATGATCAGGTCTCATTTAATTTATTTATAGTTTTTGTTTTATGTATTTATTTTTATGTTTTTTTTCTGCAAAGTCCTACATTTTTCCACATTTCGTGTCATCGCCACTACAAGTTGATTGGGATTTTAATTTTTAGTCCACTGCAAAGAAGTCCATAATTACAACGTGGAAGGAAAATGATGGATGGTTTTGAAATTTTACTCAAGCCACAGCTGCAGGTGCTTAGAGGTATGTCTCTCCACCAGTTGTGCAGATATAGAAACTGATATTTTACACATGCTTCTTTGCAACATGACTTAAACTCCAACAGATGGAAAGAAAGGCATTTATAAACATACATTTTGAGTTTTCTACAACTTAATGGGATTTCCGTGGTGAAATAAAGGTTAAATAAGACAAGTAAAAAAAATAAAATAAAGTCTGGACATTGCTTGGACCACACTAGATAAAAACTATCTTTGGATCTAAATAATTCCATCACATCTCCATTGTAAATTAAGGTGGTAAAAATCATTCCCAAACCACTACATTTCACTGTGAGGATAATTTTTTGTGAAGAACTGAAATCGTGTATCTTTTCTATTCCTCTTCACCATTACATGTTACTTGGTGTTTGTTCATTATGTAAAAGACCTTATGACTCATCCTTAATTTATTAGATTAATTTGGTATACATATTCTATGTAAGGGAGGGATCCTTACCTTTTCTCTTTTTTTTTTTTTCCTTTTGAAGGCATCACGTATATTTACGTTACCACTTTTCTGTATCATAACTGTTCACACATATATCCCAACCCACCATCTATGGGCAGCTTAGTTCCAGGACATTCTCCTTTAATAAAAAGCGTCATAATTCTTAAATGCTTTTGTGCAGGGATGAGATGTAATGGTGTCTGACGTTTAATCTGGGGGATGCTGGTGTCTCCAATAGTTGTGTGCAGAGAGGAAAACTTATAACTCTGTCAGTTTGATGATCCAACACTTTGTTGTTCTTTTTTAAAATAATTACTCGACTAAGCTCTTTGTAGATATTTTATGATAGAAATGTGGAAGTCCTCCTACATGTGAAACCAGTCGTACATTTCCTGCCAGAGATTCTAGTATAACGGAGCATAAAGATGCATATTTAAAGTGTACGACTCGCTGGCAGTGGACACAACAAAATATGACCCCATTATTTCTATTTTTGACTAAACAACCCACACATCCAGCTTCTGGTCTGTGACTGATGTTCAAGCCCCAGACTAGAAGTTGCTCATGGATCCTTTTTGAACCTGTTCTATGCAAAACCCTTTTTGGATGCTAAGAAAACTACCCAAAAGCTGTCAAATCTTGGAACCCTCCAGCACAAGAGGGCTCCAGATTTGTGTTAAATACATCTATTGATGAGTTGGACCACATTGTTCCCAATGTGGGGCCAAAAGTGCATAATAGTTCAGTACAATGGCGTCTGTTTGTTGCTCTAAAAGTAAAGGCCGGTTATGCCTGCGTGTATCATCGTCTCAAGAATTAGATATGCATCCGTCATTGCCGACGTCATGCTATCATGCAAACGGATTTTGCTAACTGGAGAATTCATTCTTTTGTTCACAAACTTATCCCGTCGTGAGTCTTATTCTCAGCGTTTTGTCTTTGCATTTCCCGTCTTTCTCCAACGCACTTACTACAAACACGATCTGCGATGACTGTCCCTGTGAAACGTCTGACCACTGAAGAGCACGTAGTCACCAGAAAATAAAGAAAGCAATAAGCCCAAGATTTTGCCTTAAGGATTTTTTTTCATAACACTTATGTGCTGAATCTTTTCAGTCCTGCCCAGAAGATGTAAGAGGCTGTTTGGGTTTGATTACAAAACAAATCCCGGGCTTGATTGCACGCTCTGATCTTTTTTCTTTTTTTTCTTTTTTTGGCGTCTGCTGAAAGTAACTTGTATAAGTCATTTTCAAACTATACTCAACAGGAGGAAAGTTTCAACATTTCAACCTTGTGGTTTGAACAATAAATAAAATAAAGTAAAACTTGATAATGATAGTTTCATCCTTTCCCACATTAGCATTTCAACCTCCAACTGGAAGGACCTGACTGCAGCCCCACCTGGCAGTCCACTAGCTTTCCCCCCTGATTTATAGTTTAATAGATTTGTACTGCTGCCATATGGCTTCCCTCTCCCTCTCATCCACGCCTTTGCTACTCCCTCTATCATTCCCCTCTCCTTCCCTCCCTCTTCTCATATCTCAGTGCTGCTCATCTCAGGGGCCTCTCAATCAAAGCATGCCCCTTCATTCTCCCATGCTCTCCCTCCCTCTAGCTTCTTCCTCTCTGCTCTCACTCCCTGCATCCCCACTCTGTTGCAACAAACTCCCCCCCTTTCCTCCTTTGCCCGTGCTGCAGTTCACTCCCAAGGTCAACGCAGATCCAATCTTGCAACAGTCAGCATTCAATGTATCCTTGAGGAAGCCACTAAGGTCTCGTGTCACAAAAACCGCACCCAAAGTGGGCAGCACAGAGCAAGAAAAGCACGCATTCTTGTCTTGGAGATTGGCAGGGAGCGTTCATATTTGTTTTCATTATTAGACAGTGTGGCCTTGTAGGTTGGAGTCGGTAGAGAGGAAGGGAGGCTGGGAGAAAGGCCAGCGCATTGGGCAGTGTGGCCAAGTGGGCTTTAGAGCACCATGTCATGCTCTCATTAATGATCATTGATAGCTCGATTACAGAGAGGGGAGACGAGCCTTGGCTGGCAGGTTAAACCACTTGACATAATCACATGGTAGTCACTACATCCCTATGTTTATGTAAAATTTATAGCCATTTATAGAGCCATATCCTTTTAAATCGTCAACTTTTCTGGTCTTTGTTGTTGCGGCGTTATCGATGTATTGCCCAAGTTCCCCAAAGACACAAATTAGGGAGCATGTATATCTTGCTTAGATTGCAGGAGAACAAGTAATATCTAGTATCTTTTTTTTTCTTTCTCTCCGCTATTTATTTTTCTGTACTCGCAAAGTTTTGCTAATCATGGTAGCAATTTTTAAAAAGTACTTTATCTTGCTGCTACTAAAGTTATTAAATTAAATGTCCTGAAAATTTCAGGATTAGAGAATATTTATGTCACTCAAATTTAGAAACTGTAGTGTTAAACTTTAGAGTTTGTTCCAAATCAGACAAAATATACCTATTGGCCATTTTATTAGGTACACCTTGGTTCCTCTTGGGACTTCAGAACTCCTTCAGTTCTTCATGGAATTGATTCAACAAATTATCCAAATAATTCCCCAGAAGTTTTGGTACATATTGTAATATCATTAACTGAAAATTGAACAGGTGTTGGTGATGGAGTTGATAGTAAATGTTGGTGTTGGTGTACACAATGAATTTGTGTACGTCTTTGTATATTTGTTTTGAAACAATTTGAAAGTCTATTAGGCGAGTATGAGATCACAGAGACTTTTCACTTTGATAAAAGTACTATGTTTTTCTCTTATGAATACCAAAATGTATAACATCAAGTATGTTATAAATATTGTACTGAATGTTCATAGTGCTGCAAAAATATTAGAATTACTACATTTATAATAGTGTTAGATTCAACGATCTGGATCTTTCTAGACTGGGACTGATTTTCTTTTCGACCCGAGAGTTGACGATTGTAATTTTGAAAAACTGTTTTAATATTTGATTTGGGAAATTTTGTCCAATTTTAATGACATTTTGAATTGATTGGTGCATTTCTAATATTTATTCAATACTAATTAAATATTTAAGCACAGACTAAAGGAAAAGCTAGAATAAACACTCACAAAATGTAGAAATAATTTAAAACCTGCTTATTGCAAAGTTTATCAGCTTGATACAACCTGCTTAATTAGTAGAACTCTTTACTTAAGTATGTTAAATATTAACTTGCCATAATTAATTACTATATTTCTAAATAGGCAATTTATTTATTTATTTATTTTCCTGTAAGTGAAGGAAAAGCATAAAATTATTTCAGCCAGGTCACC